CCACACTGGAAACACCTACCGTTCTAGAGAATTATTTAAGAATTACAGTCCTATCAAGTTCCCATATGGGGCAGTGAGTGGTCTGTGTGAAAGCTTTTCAGGTCACCAACGGCCGGGAGGGAGGCAGACACCTTGCCACCCTCTGAACTTGATAAGAGGCTCAGACCCTAATTCTGGGGATACCAAATTAGATGTGAGTGCTAGGGCAGAGGGAGCATCCCCTGGGTTTCAGCTGCTACTGTTGCAGAGAAGCACAAGTTAATTTCCAGTGTTACTTTAAGGACCCTCTCCTGTTTGTTCCCATAGTTACCTCCAAAATGTTTCTGTCACTTGCAGAAAGAACTCTTGGTTCTAATTAGGACTGCGTTGGTAATTACACTCCCATTGTTTCTTACCCACTCACAGTGAGCCTGGAATGACTGACCCGCTCTTCCCTTGATCTTTCTCAGCTCCAGGGACCATTCCCATGATCTGCACTCAGGGCTGAGCCCCTGTCCCCCCTGCGCGCACTGATGTGCAGCTCTGCCCCTGGAAGAGGGTGCTCATAGGCTTCTAACCTGTGCACACGTGGCCCAAGCACATGCATATTTGCAATCTCTGGAGCAGCTCCTCCTGAGTAAATGACCATTTCCCCCACGAGAGGTCCTCATGCTGCCTCTTGGTGTAGTCTGCCAGTCAATAAAAGCTTAAACAGAGGCCAAGCAGCTTTTCAGAGAATGGAAAATGAATGGGAATTTGGGGTGGATGCCCCAGATTCAGCGCCAGTAACTTAGAGGGTGATCATAAAAATAGCAACTTCTTTTACCATGTGCTAAGAGTTTTCCGCAAGTTCATTTCATTTAACCTGTGCACCTCTGTCAGAGTTGAGGAATTCGAGGGAGCAGGTTTAGGGGAAAGTGCCCAAAGAAACCCAGCTAGGAAAGTACAGAGGTGAGCCTCGTCCCTGGGCTTCAGATCATGAGCTGACAACCACGTGTCAGCATTTCATAATTTGGAACTTGTTTGGGCCTCAGCTTCCTCATCTCCACATGGGACCCCTGCACTAGCGGGGAGCCACTGGTGGGTTTTGAGGGGATGAAGTAGAGAACAGTGTGGAGTTCCTGTGAAGGTCTGTGCTTTGTTGAGTTCTGCGCCTCGCAAATATTAGCCGTGACTCCTAGGGCAGGGCTGAGTGTTGAGTGCTCACAAGTCCCTGCTTGCTAGGGACTCCCCAAACCAGTGAAAAACCTGGACCTTGAGGTCTGGTGGCTTTTCTTTTACCAAAAAAGCACCTGAGCTCCTTCCTGCGCGACACCCAGCACAGGAGGCGTGGCTACCCCTCCACGTCTCCTCCTCTTTCCCCACAACCTTGACCTTCCCCTGCCCTCTCCATGAGCTGTGTTAACATGGAGTCTTTGGCCTGAAACCCATGCCTGACAGAGGAGCATTTCTAGGGCAAAGCCTGTGTTCTTCAGGGAACATTCAGCCTGTGGGAGCAGCGGGGTCCAGGGAAAGCTCCAAGGAGGCTCTACACATACGTGGGTCCTGCACCGGGAGGCCCACAATGGCTGTTTGGGCAGGTCTGAGGTTTCACGGGTGTCTTCCCACTGGACTCACTTGTTCATTTCTTGCTCAGTTTCCCAAATCCTTGAGTGCCTGTCCTGTGCTTGACAGGAAAGAGGGCTTGGCAGAAATAAGATCATCTCTCTGCCCTACTTGCCATTTTAGTGCAGAGAGTGATGCAGAAATCACATGTGAATAAACATGGAAATATGATTTCAGAAAGGCTGATGGCTCTGAGGTCATAAATAGGGTGAAGGAATAGAGAGGGATGAGTGAGCAGAGCCACTGGCCTGGGGTGGTCAGTAAAGGGCACTTTCAGAAGACAGGACCAGCGTTGTTGTCTAAACGAAGGAGGAAGCACTCACCCATCTGGGGAAAGGCGTACCTGGCAGAGGAAATGGCACAAGTGAGCTTGAGAGGCTAGTCGGACAGAAGGATCGTCAGTGGCTAAGTAGGAGGGGCTTGGACATATGCATGTCTGGACCAGGAGCATGGATTTGAATCTCAGTGTGATTTGGAGGCATTGGTGGGCTTTGAGCATCATGGACTCATGGTCCCATTTGGAGTTTTAAGCTGTTTCCGTTAAGTGTGCTATTGTAAAGGACAGTTCGGGGAAGGAGGGGTGGGGGTTGACTGCCAGCCTCCGAGGTCCGGTCCAGCCCCAAATCCAGGCTTGTGATGGGGTAGGGTGTTACAGGACACAGGACAGGGAAGGGAGTTTGGGTCCTGGAAAGCCTTGGTTACCTTCATAATTTTGTCTGGGGCAGGCTCTGGGTGAAGAGTGGCTGGGCTTGACCTATGAACCTGGGTTGCCTTTCAGAGTCAAGGTTGTTTGCCTCCCCAGCTGGGCAGAAGGACAGGTTGAGCAGAGTGCAGGCAGGTGGCCTCAGGGTTAAATCTGATTCACATTCACATCAGGCACAAAATAATCTGCAATCCTCAACGTTGTAATTCTATCAGGTCCCCCACTGAGATGTTGTGTAATCAATGGCAAGAAAACCAGAAGAGCGACATCAAAATTATTTTAAAAGAAAGGCAAAATGAAATACTTGCCTCCTGGATTATTTTAGAAGACTTGCTAAAAACAACAAAAAGCTGTAATTATGCTGCTTGCAAATAGGATACAATGAAGCAATTAACTTAGTGTCACATTGAAATAATTCATAACTATAGAACATTGTCTATGAAGTATAATCCCAAGTGGTTTTCACTGTAGACATTACAGGATCGCTAACTAGCAATAAGACTAAAATAGTATTAGAAAAGTATTTTAGTGGAGAGAGAACATCTTGCTGTGGTTCTGGTTCTGTAGCTGTAGGATCAATGGAAGGTGGGGTGAGCTCAGTGGTGACTCACTTCTGTTTTCAGGCTGTGTGGACGGCCTTCGATGCAGAGACTTTTCCTGTGGCTGATGGAGGATGGGGAGGAAGTGTGGGGCCAGAATGGGGGGAAGACCAGAGAGGCCTATCCCCCCCTGAGCAATCCCCTTAAGGTTTTCTAAAACATCTGAAGCCCAGCAAGGGGCAAGGGGGAGGACCAGAGTCTAGGTCAATGGAATTCGGATCCTGTGATTTGTTGAGTCAAAAGAAAGTCCTAAGCTGCTGTCTGCACCAGGAAGACCAGGTTACCCTCACGATCTTGAGATCTTGAGAAAGATCTGTGTTAGGATGGGGCTGACCTGCCAGAGCAGTCTTTCCCCTGGGCTCCTCATCCTTGGAGGGACCCTGGCTCCTCAACCAACCGCAGCCTAGTGCTACCCCTTCCTTGGGGATCTGGACATCCAGAGGATGCCCTGGTGGTCTCTGCCCTCTGCCAGATGTCCTATTTGCAACATCAGGGACATAAGGATATTTTTTTCGGAAACTTACATTCTTTCTCAGTTTTTCTTTTTCTTTTTTTTTTTTGTCTCAGGTATGCACTTTCTTAGGCTTTGGTGGTGTCTCTCAGCCAGCAGAGCTCCTAACTCATTGTCGTGAGCTCTTCTTTGAATAGATTCAATAATAACACATGATTCTTTAGAATTTTCCTGACAGAATTTTGGCTAGTGTTTTGTAGGTGTCCAGCTCTTTGCAATAATGGCAGGTCTTGTCATCTGGTTTTGAAAGATTCTCGTACATCTCTGCAGGGTACATGCTGTGTAAATTAGGTATTTGGTGAAAATAATTTTTATGCTGATACACTTGAAGGAGGATGTGAAGTTTCCACTGGAGCTGTGGCATCTCCCTTTCTAACTGTGCTTCCGGCCCCCCCCCCCGCCGATTGCAGTGAAGCTTTTGGTTTAGAGACATTTCGGATGATCTTTCAAGGCCCTTATTATTTCATATTCTTCAGTTCAGTTAGTATGCAACTGGTTTCTTTTTTTTCAGGAGTTTTTAAATGAGTGTTTAAACTCAAGCCATACCGATCATTGTCTTTCCTTCGGTTCACCTTCCATGTGGTCTTGTCTTCTGGTGAACTTGTTTCATCCAACTCCAGGCTCCCACCATCCATGCCTTCTCCAGAAACAGGAGCCCCGTCCCTCATCTTCTGCAGTGTTTGCCCAGAAGCTTGATCTGACTTTTTAAAAAGAGGTTTTTTTTGTACTATTCCTTTATCTTATGTAACAAATGTCTTCACTCTTTTGTTCATTCATTTAGCTTCTTTTGAAAACAGTGTCAGGCTTCCGTGAAGATGAGAATTTTTCTCTAGAGCATCTCTGAGAGCTCCCTGAATTTTTCCTTCATTTTCCCAAAGGCTTTTGCAGATGTTAACAGCGGCAGTGACTTGACTTTGGTACTCTGATATAGCTGGTAAAGACTGTGTTTTGCTGTTATGTTGACCATTAGCTCGACTTGTTTTTTTGTCTTGACATTTGTCCTCTTTTGGTAGTTTTGGAATGTGTACTTTACACCCAAGTAAAAGGTCAGATGTTTCTAGGTCTTTATGCGTGGTCTCCAACTTTATTGTTGCTGATACCATGTCTCCCAGAAGGGTGCCACTGAACTTGACTCAGGCCCTTCAAATTCATTTTCGATTGGTCATAGCTATTCAAAAATATGTTGTCTCTCCTCCAGAGGGGCAGAATCTCCAGTGTCCACTTTTTTCTTTTTCTTTTTTAAAAAGATTTTATTTATTTGAGAGAGAGTGAGCAAGTGAGCGAGAGAGAGTGAGAGAGAGCAGAAGCAGGAGGGGCGGCCGGCAGAGGGAGAGGGAGAAGCAGGCTCTCCGCTGAGCAGGGAGACTGACATGGGGGCTCAATCCCAGGACCCTGGGATCATGACCTGAGCTGAAGTCAGACGCTTCACCGATTGAGCCACCCAGACACCCCATCCAGTGTCCACTTTGTCTCTGTATAAAGTCAGATCTTTTTATTTTATTTTTTTAAAGATTTTATTTATTTATTTGACAGAGAGAGAGAGCACAAGCAGAGGGAGCAGCAGAGGGAGAGGGAGAAGCAGGCTTCCCGCTGAGCAGAGAGCACGATGCGGGGCTTGATCCCAGGGCCCCGGGATCATGACCTGAGCTGAAGGCAGACGCTTAACGACTGAGGCACCCAGGCGCCCCAGATCTTTTAATTTTTTTTAAGTCAGATCTTGATAATGAAAAATCCGACCTTGACTATCAAACTGCCACCGCACATAGCAATGAGTGGGGAGCTGGGTCTGGTCTAAGGTGCTCTGGATGTGCTGCTACTGACTGGCCCCAGGACCAGCAGGACACAGATCATCATGTATATGACATGAGGCCACTGCAGAGTCACCTCACATCCAGAATATCATTAACTTCAGAGAACATCGAGAGCATTATGCCTGGAATCGAACGAGTGCTGGGCAGCCAGGCGGACCTCAGCCGAGGTGGGGGAGAGGGACAAATACAGTAAACCCTGACTAATGCTCTTTCTTCAAACAACTTTATTTAGGTGCCGAGGGGTATCCCCAGAGCTCCGAACACCTTGCCCACACACACTATGCAGAGCAACTTTAGGTTTACTGAAAACATGAGCATAAAATACAAAGAGTTCTTAAAAACAGTTTCTCCTATAATTAACATCTTGCATTAGTGTGACACAGTTACAATTGATAAGCAAATATTGACACATTTTCATTAATAAGTCAGCATCCCCCCCACTCCTCTCCTTGCCTGTGGCCTGGGATCTCTTTCAAAGCCGCAATCTGGGAACAACTGTTTCCTGTTTCACGGGACTCCTGTCCTTAATTGCCCATTATCTAGTGTCTTGCAAACAGTTGTGTGGTATATTTTATCTGTTTTTTTCCCCTGGAGGAAGGGCAGATTCATCCTGCATTATTCCACCACGGCCGGAAGCTAAGGTCTTTTTGTGTATCTTTGACACCACGAAGACAGGATAGACTTACTGTGTTTTGAAGTCTACCATTAGGTGGCGCTGTTGTACAACTGAGATGCTTTTCAGAAAAGGCCCCGTACAAAGAAGTTCTTTTAAGAGATCTATGAAATTATATATTTGGTATTAGTTTGGGTACAAAAGTCTGTCTTGTTGAGCTCTACTTTATTCCTATATCTGTTATCATGGAATTTTTGCTTCAGTGTAAAATTTATAAAGATATTTTGCCTACAATCATACATGTCATAGATTGACTATGACAATCTCCTGGGACCCAGTAGGAGAAATATTACAGTCGTTAAGGGTAGGTTTCCACGTCTAAGTGGATTTAGATATATTTATGAAGGCACTGATTAACATTCATTCCTGACGTGCTGAGAAGAATAAGATGTGTTTCCTGCCTCAGAGGGCTCCTGTCCGCATGGGGGAGACATAGATGTGGACCCCCAGTGACCAAGGAGGCATTCTTCACAGAGCAGGTGACCATCTATCAGGGTGCAAAAGATGTGTAGAAATTTTCCACTGGAGAAGGGGGCAAATAACAGTCCGTCCCCAACAGTGGAAATATCACGTAGAAGGAGATAGATATTCAAAATATCATAACCAGGTCAGAGAAGATGGAGTGGGTCCATGCAATTAGCAGGAATAAAAGAGCAATAGGAAATAAGGATAAGGAAGGGGACCAGGACCACAGCATGAAGGGCCAGATTTGCTACATAAGGGCTCAGATTATACCTTGTAGCCAGTGGAGAGTAAACATAGTTATCAGTTAAGTGATTAATATGATTAAAATGGTGTTTTAGACTAGAGTCTCTAAACTACTTGGGCTGAACAGCCTTTATAATAAATGCAGTTTTAGTAAACATCCAATATATTTATACATACATATATATATATATACACACATATGTAGCATTATGTAGACACATGATGCAGATTATAAAATATGCATAAAACTATGCAGCTTGTGGTAATAATGACATAGACTTTGACAATTTTGAATTTTTTACAGATTATACATCAGGTCTGATTAGATCCCTGTTTTATGTTATAGTGGAGCTAATTTAAGTGGAATGGAAGACATCTGAGTCTCAATGTTCTCTTGATCACTTCAAGAAATTCGACCACGGCAGTGAACTTGCATTCTTTCTTCAAGCCTGACATACTGCCATTTCACACAGAAACAGTAGGATTGTTCTCCCAAGTCAATATTAGAGGCCTAACTTCTTATTTATTAATTTAAGATAAGTGCAAATTGGAGACTTACTGTTTTATTTGTCCCCTGTGGAGCACTGTGCGCGCCTTCGATGCATGTGTCCTCACACATACCCCCGGGCTGGGTGACTCTGGCTGCAGCCCTCCAGAGAGACTGCAGAACGTAGGCAGGAGACCAACACGGACACCAAACAGGAGCTGCTTCTCTGTTGGTAATCAGAGCAGAGATCAATTAAATCCGAGATAAACAGTTACAATCCAATTCAAATAATACATATTTCACTTCAGCCTCTTGTAAATTAACAAAGCAAAATATTAAAAATAATAATTATGTCCCCCAAAGTTCTGGTATTACGAGTGAACATGGGTTAGAGTTATCCTGGAAAGAAAACTTAGTGACTGATCTCTGGCCAGTGTGTTAGAAACGACAAGACCCCTTCACTGGTGAGGACACAGCAAGAAGTCAGCAGTCCGTGACCCCGAAGAGGGGTTTTGCCAGAATCCGGCCATGCTGGCTCCCTGATCTCAGACTATCAGCACCCAAAACTGTGAGTAGTATATGTCTGTTAGTTACAAGGGGTGTTTTGTTACAGGAGCTCAAATGGACCAGGACCAAGAACAAAGATAAACTGGAATATTTGACCTAGGTTTTCTGCTGCAGTATTGCAGAAGATGCCCGAGGAGACTTGAATTGGCATCCATCTCTCCATCTTTCTGCCCAACCATTAGCCCTTGAAATGAATATGGCTACTTCACTGAAGACGCTGAGCTTCTCACATGTAGCAAGGAGCATCACACCCCTGCCTCAGTTTTGCAGGTACTTTATTGTACAAACTTTATAAATTACTGTTTATAAATTACATCAAGTACATGAAAGATATTGTATAAATTCAGAGGTTTGTTTCCTAATTAATATCATGTGAAGCATTAAGATAGCTGTCTTGAAAGAAATGGTTGTAAATAATCTATAGCTAGACCATTTGCAACGACCATTGTTCACTCCCAAATTGCGTTTTGACCTTGTTCATTTGTTGACTGGAAAATTGCATCCCTTTTCCTACTTCTGAGTGTGAAGGTGATATCAGCTCTGTGAGACATTTCAGGATTTATAGTTTCTGCATTCTGTCTTCCAGACAAAGTTGGAAAGTATGCTTTTTCTCAGTGCTAAATATCAGAATTGTGGCTAGTCTTTAGGCAAACACCTTTTTTTTTTTAAAAAAAAGATTTTATTTATTTATTTTGACAGAGAGACAGAGAGAGAGGGAACACAAGCAGGGGGAGTGGGAAAGGGAGAAGCAGGCTTCCCGCTGAGCCCGACACAGGGCTCGATCCCAGGACCCTGAGATCATGACCTGAGCCGAAGGCAGATGCTTAACGACTGAGCTACCCAGACGCCCTTAGGCAAACACCTTTTAAAAAGTTGAAACAGGACGGGGCGCCTGGGTGGCTCAGTCAGTTAAGCCACCGATTCTTGATCTGGGCTCAGGTCATGATCTCGGGGTCGTGAGATTGAGCCCCACATCGGGCTCTACTGGGCTCTGCTGGGCTCTGCCAGGCTCTGTGCTCAGCATGGAGTCTGCTTGTACCTCTCCTTCTGCTCCTCCCTCCGCTTGCATGTGCTCGCAGGCTCTCTCTCTCAAATAAATAAATAAATAAATAAATAAATAAATAAATAAATAAATAAAATCTCGAAAGCTGAAACAGGCTGGAGCTACATATGTATAAAGGTATACCCACCAAATCTTAGGGGAGACTTTTTTTTTTTTTAAAGATTTTATTTATTTATTTGACAGAGAGATACACAGCGAGAGAGGGAACACCAGCAGGGGGAGTGGGAGAGGGAGAAGCAGGCTTCCCGCTGGGCAGGGAGCCAGATGCGGGGCTCGATCCCAGGACCCTGGGATCATGACCTGAGCCAAAGGCAGACGCTTAACGACTGAGCCACCCAGGCGCCCTAGGCGAGACTTTTTAAAGCAGACCACCCAGTGTAAACCTGATGTGAGTTGGATGTTTTTATTGGTACATTGATTCCTTACCTGGCCTTTAAACATCCGTTATTGGAATATGTCATGTTTCCACAATATTCTCTGTATAGGAGCTCCCTTGGTTTTTGCAGGTGCAGGACGGCCCGATGAGCTGCCCATTTCCCCTGTGCACTTTAGTGAACCTTTGTACATTGTTTTGCCTGGTCACTTCCTATCTTATTATTCAACTGTATTTTCTCCATAGCACTTACCGCTATTTGAGATGATTTTGTTTATGTATGCTGTGTTTGCTTTCTCCCTCTCTTCACTTACATGTAAAACTGCATGAGGTCAGGGGCCTTGTTTTCCTGTTCATCATGCTGTCATCGGTGCCAAGACAGGACCTGGCACAAATTGAGTGGTCAATACAAAATCATTGATTATGTAAATAAATGAACATTGACAATAGTACCTGATGTCATGTTCACTGTCACGAAACATTTATTCAATGTTGTGCCCATAGTGAACAATATGACATTGTGAAGTTGAACATAGGTGAAGAATATATATCTCATATTAAGTGTTCTAACCCCCAAATCAGCAACAGACAAACAGACAAAAAACCCGCAAAAGAACACAAGGAAATTTTGGAAGGTTATGGTTATGTTTCATATCTTGGTTGTGGTGATGGTCTGATGGGTACATGCAAATGTCCAAACTCATCAAGATGTATACATTACATGTGTATAACTTTTTATATGTCAGTTATATCCCAATAATATTTTTTTAAGAAGCATTTATTAAGCAGGACCACAGTGTTACACAACCCCAGTGGGGTGTGTGTGTGTGTGTGTGTGTGTGTGTGTGTGTGTGTGTGTGTGAAAGACCAGGCTCTGCACAAAACAGATTGATGCCTGGAAGACCCAACTAAATAGAAACTTGTCATCCAAGTAGCTCCTGAATAATGTGCCAGTGACTTCCTTTGTATTTGGAATTATCTTGTAATGAGGATGTCTGGGTAGTTCAGTAGATAAACCCTTTTAGGTGAAGATCCCCACAGAGCCCTCCGAAATTGAGTATCAACCCTGCTCCGTCATAAACAGCATTAGAGGCCGACAAACCACACTTCATTCCCACATTTCATTCATAATCACAGCAAGACACTTTTTAAAATAGAAACAAGGAGGGGCGCTTGGGTGGCTCAGTCAGTTGAGCGTCTGCCTTTGGCTCAGGTCATGATCTCGGGGGATCCTGGGATCGAGCCCCGAGTGGGGCTCCCTGCTAAGTGGGGAGCCTGATTCTTCCTCTCCCCGCCCCCTGCTTGTGTGCCCTCTCTTTATCTCTCTCTATCAAATATATAAAATCTTTAAGAAAAATAAATTCATATAAAAATATAAAAAATAAAATTTTCATTTGCTTAAGTAAATGATGAGGAAAATTATAAAAAAATAAAATAGAAGCAAGTATACAAAGTATTTTTTTAAAAATCAAATTGGGATTCAGTGCTACCTAACACTAATTTAGAGAGAGAGTTAAATTTAATTGATTTGGGTAGGGTAAAATGGCAATAATTGTTGGACATGGTATTTAAATTTCATGACTTGAATTTCTTTTTAAAAATTTTTAAATTTTTTTTTATTTAAAGATTTTATTTATTTATTTGAGAGAGAGAGAATGAGTGAGAGCACATGAGAGGGGGGAGGGTCAGAGGGAGAAGCAGGCTCCCCGCTGAGCAGGGAGCCCGATGCGGGACTCGATCCAGGGACTCCAGGATCATGACCTGAGCTGAAGGCAGTCGCTTAACCAACTGAGCCACCCAGGCGCCCAACTTGAATTTCTTATTGCTTCTTTTCACGTGAGATTTACCTTTGTAAATGCGCCATCACAGAAAACTTTTCAGAGAGTTCTTCCTTGCATTTTTCTCTCTGAGGGTACCAGTGTCGTGTTCAGGGATTGGTGACGGAGAAAGGTATAAGGAGAAGATGAATGTGCTTCAGCCTTAGAAGTGTCTCCAGCTACTGACTTTGTTCTTTCCCTCAGGCTGAATGAGGTGAATGTAGAGTATCTTGCAGTTGAATAATTTGGATTGCTTTTAGGCAAGAATTTTTGTGATGTTATAAAAATTGAGATCTAAAAGGAAACTTAAACTTCAGTTCATTCTTTTGATGTATTTTGCCTGAAGCATGGTGCTAGGACCTGTTATTTTAAATAGGCAATATAAAAATATCTTTCTAATTCACTCCTACAGTTGAAAGTTCCTCATGGATTGAAATTACTGTGATCTATCAAAATTTACTATGTTGTGGAAATAAAATAAAATCACATGTCAGGCAAGGAATGATGACAACAATGGACCAGCTTATTATGAAGCTTAAAATGAAAATGCTTTACTGGAAACAGTCCATTGGTCTTTTGGAAGATTGAGAATATGTGTCAAAATCAGAGTGCTGGTGTTCTATTTATTCTTATTGATGTGGCTGGTTTGCCCCATGCTTAAGGTCAGTCTTTTTGAATCCATAATAGTATTTGGTTTAATTGCATGTTGTTGTTGTTGTTGTTGAGATGTAATTAAGGTACCATAAGAGTCATCATTTTAAGGTGGACATTTCAGGGGTGCCTGGGTGGCTTAGTTGGTTAAGCGTCTGACTTCATTTTGGCTTGGGTCATGATCTCGGGGTGGTGAGATTGAGTCCCACGTTGGGCTCCCTGCGGGGTGTGGAGTGTGCTTGGGATTCTCTCTCTTTCTCTCCCTCTGCCCCTCCCCTCCCATGCATGCTCTCTTTCTGTCTCTCTCTCAAAAAAAAAAAAAAGTGTACATTTCAGTGATTTTGAGTGCAGGCACAAGGTTGTGCAACTGTCGTTACTAATTACAGAATATTTCATTAATCCAAAAAGATGAAACCACTAATCACATTTTGTAGCTATGGATTTGCCTATACTGGACATCTCGTGTAAACTGAGTCATATCATGTGCCTGACTACTTCCCCTTAGCAAAGTCTTCCAAGATTTATCCATGTGGCAGCAAGTGTCAATACTTCATTTCTTTTTATGGATGGGTGATAGTCCCTTGCACAGCTAGCTGTGCCACATTTTATTACTCACTTATAAATTGATGAACACTTGATTTGTTTCCATTTTATGACTATCACGAATAATGCTGCTGTGAACATTTGTGTACAAATTTTTTTTGAACATATGTTTGCACTTCTCTTGAGTATATACCTAGGAGTGGAGTTGCTGAGTCATGTGGTAACTCTTTGTTTCACTTTTTTTTTAAAGATTTTATTTATTTGTTAGAGAGAGAGAGAGAGTGAGCATGAGTGGAGGGGGGAGAGGGAGAAGCAGACTCCCTGCTGAGCTGGGAGCCCGATGTGGGGCTCAATCCCAGGACCCTGAGATCATGACGTGAGCTGAAGGCGGAGGCTTAACTGACTGAGCCACCCAGGTGCCCCTATGTTTCACTTTTTGAGGAATCGCCAAACTGTCTCCCACAGCAGTTAGGTACTAGGGTAGGTTAAAACACCATAAAGTGGCTCACTTGGTTGAGCATTGGACTCTTGGTTTCGGCTCAGGTCATGATCTCACGGTCATGAGATTGAGCCCCGCATCCAGCTCCGTGCTCAGTGGGGAGTCTGCTTGAAGATTCTCTCTCTCCCTTTCTCTCTAAAATAAATAAATAAATCTTAAAAAGAAAACACCAAAAAGCTTGCTGCTCTTATGACTGTTTAGCCATTTTTTTCCTTGAATAAATAGTCCTTGGGTTACTACAAGTGTTTGTTTAATATCTGGAGCTGCGAAAAAGTTGGTTCTGACAATCTTTGCCATTATTTTTTCATTGCTTTTCTGAGAGGGTAAATTTTCAGAGGTTCTTATTCTGACATTTTCACTGATATCACTTCAGTTGCCTGACTTACACTGCAGTGAGATCACTGCTTTGCCTTTGGTTATTTCCATACAGACTTGTACAAGTCATGGGGATGCCAAAGAGAGAGTGACTCAAGCTTCTTTTAAGTCTGTCATCACAGATTTTTCTTACTGGATATTATCTTTGCTTTTATTACTTATAAAGTTTGGGAGCTATTAAAAGCCTCAGAGATGGGGCGCCTGGGTGGCTCAGTCGTTAAGCATCTGCCTTCGGCTCAGGTCATGATCCCAGGGTCCTGGGATCAAGTCCCGCCTTGGGCTCCCTGCTCAGCAGGGAGCCTGCTTCTCCCTCTCCCACTCCCCCTGCCCGTGTTCCCTCTCTCGCTATGTCTCTCTCTGTCAAATAAATAAATAAAATCTTTAAAAAAATAAAATAAAAACGAAAGCCTCAGAGGTTGGCTAATGGATTGATACTTTTGTTTCACACATGAGAAAACTGGCACTTCTTGTGGAGTGAAGTGAATTGTCTGGCTTCTTCCTCTCATTGGTAGTTGAGCTTAGAATTGAAGTTGGACTACAGGTTAGAGCTCAAACAAAAATAGTCAGTACAAATCCTTCTTTGCAATTTTCCTGAGTCTCATCACCTAGCCTTCTATACATGATTCCCCTTTTCGCTTGGGCATGTGGGCTAGTCCCTGTGAGACTTTGAAAATGATGAGATACCATAAGGCGATGCATAGCCCCACAGCTCTTCTCATGGACTTGGCTTTGACCTTGGTATTATTTGGGGATTATAAAAATTCCCAGTCTCCAAGAAGCAGCCCACAGTTTGAGCCATGTGAAATCTGTATGGTGGCAGAGACATTTCTGTCTAACTTTCCCTGCTTATTTTTACTTTCCCTGTTTATTTCTACATAGCCAAAGAGAAAACAAATGGTTTCAAAATAAAAGTTTGGTGCTGCAATGTAGGTATATGAACGTACATTGGAAAAAACTTGCTTTTAGGGCCCTTGGGCACATCCTCTGGTTGGTGTTTGATTAGTTTCATGGGGCTGCCATAAAATTACCACAGACTGGGTGGCTTAAACAACAGAAATTTATTTTTCTCACAATTCTGGGGGCTAAAAATCTGAGACCAATGTATCTGCATGGTTGGTTTCTTCCAAGGCTTCTTTCCTTGGCTTGTACATGAGTGCCTTCCCCCAGTGACTTCACATTGCTTTCCCTCTGTAACTGTGTCCTCATTTCTTCTTGTAAGAAACAAGTAATATTGGATTAGGACCTGCCATAGTGACCTCATCTTACCTTAATTATCTCTTTAAAGACACTGTCTCCAAATAGAGTCACATTCTGAGATACTGGGGGTTAGGACTATGAATTTGAAATATAAGAATCAAATTTTCGTCATAAAGAATGAATAGGATACTATCAAAGCAAACACTCTCTTCCCAAACTGAAAAAAGAATGAAAAAATGGAGCAGAATATCCAAGGGCTGTGGGACAGTTACAAAAGGTGCAACACACACAGAATGGGAATAACAGATGGAAAAACTGAAAAAGGAGCTGAAGAGATATTTGAAGTAATAATGTTGAGGATTTTCCAAATGAATGTTAGTCACCAAGTAGCAGAACCAGGAAGCTCAGATTATACCAAGCAGGATAAACACCAAAAAACTATACCTATACATATTATATTCAAACTACAAAAACCCAAAGACAGAGAAAGAAGTCAGGAGGGTGGGGGACTTCTCTATAGAGGGACCCCTATAAGAATTATATTGGACTCCTTGTCAGAAACCATGCAAACGAGAGTGTAGTGAAATGTTTAAAGTGGTTTTTTTAATGTTTTTTAAAATCATGTTATGTTAATCACCATACATTACATCATTAGTTTTTGATGTAATGTTCCATGATTCATTGTTTGTGTATAACACCCAGTGCTCCATTCAGTAGGTGCCCTCTTTATTACCCATCACCAGGCTAACCCCTCCCCCAAGCCCCCTCCCCTCTAGAACCCTCAGTTTGTTTCTCAGAGTCCATAGTCTCTCATGGTTCATCTCCCCCTCTGATATCCCCCCCTTCATTTTTCCCTTCCTGCTATCTTCTTCTTCTTCTTCTTTTTTTTTTTTTTAACATATAATGTATTATTTGTTTCAGAGGTACAGGTCTGTGATTCAACAGTCTTACACAATTCACAGCGCTCACCATAGCACTTACCCTCCCCAATGTCTATCATCCAGCCACCCCATCCCTCCCAACCCCACCACTCCAGCAACCCTCAGTTTGTTTCCTGAGATTAAGAATTCCTCATATCAGTGAGGTCATATGATACATGTCTTTCTCTGATTGACTTATTTCTCTCAGCATAATACCCTCCAGTTCCATCCACGTTGTTGCAAATGGCAAGATCTCATTCCTTTTGATGGCTGCATAATATTCCATTGTATATATATATATATACCACATCTTCTTTATCCATTCATCTGCGATGGACATCTTGGCTCTTTCCACAGTTTGGCTATTGTGGACATTGCTGCTATAAACAGGGTGCACGTACCCCTTTGGATCCCTACATTTGTATCTTTGGGGTAAATACCCAGTAGGGCAATTGCTGGGTTATATGGTAGCTCTATTTTCAACTTTTTGAGGAACCTCCATACTGTTTTCCACAGTGGCTGCACCAGCTTGCATTCCCACCAACAATGTAGGAGTGTTCCCCTTTCTCTACATCCCTGCCAACATCTGTTGTTTCCTGACTTGTTCATTTTAGCCATTCTGACTGGTGTGAGGTGGTATCTCATTGAGGTTTTGATTTGGATTTCCCTGATGCCGAGCGATGTTGAGCACTTTTTCATGTGTCTGTTGGCCATTTGGATGTCTTCTTTGGAAAAATGTCTTTTCATGTCTTCTGCCCATTTCTTGATTGGATCATATGTTCTCTGGGTGTTGAGTTTGATAAGTTCTTTATAGATTTTGGATACTAGCCCTTTATCTGATATGTCATTTGCAAATATCTTCTCCCATTCTGTCGGTTGTCTTTTGGTTTTGTTGACTGTTTCTTTTGCTGTGCAAAAGCTTTTTATCTTGATGAAGTCCCAATAGTTCATTTTTGCCCTTGGCTTCCCTTGCCTTTGGTGATGTTTCTAGGAAGAAGTTGCTGCGGCTGAGGTCGAAGAGGTTGCTGCCTGTGTTCTCCTCTAGGATTTTGATGGACTCCGTCTCACATTTAGGTCTTTCAACCATTTTGAGTCTATTTTTGTGTGTGGTGTAAGGAAATGGTCCAGTTTCATTCTTCTGCATGTGGCTGTCCAATTTTCCCAACACCATTTGTTGAAGAGACTGTCTTTTTTCCATTGGACATTCTTTCCTGCTTTGTGGAAGATGAGTTGACCATAGAGTTGAGGGTCCATTTCTGGGCTCTCTTATTCTGTTCCGTTGATCTATGTGTCTGTTTTTGTGCCAGTACCATACTGTCTTGATGATGACAGCTTTGTAATAGAGCTGGAAGTCCGGAATTGTGATGCCGCCAGCTTTGCTTTGCTTTTTCAACATTCCTCTGGCTATTCGGGGTCTTTTCTGGTTCCATACAAATTTTAGGATTATTTGTTCCATTTCTTTGAAAAAAGTGGATGGTATTTTGATGGGGATTGCATTGAATGTGTAGATTGCTCTAGGTAGCATTGACATCTTCACAATATTTGTTCTTCCAATCCATGAGCATGGAACGTTTTTCCATTTCTTTGTGTCTTCCTCAATTTCTTTCCTGAGTATTTTATAGTTTTCTGAGTACAGATCCTTTGTCTCTTTGGTTAGATTTATTCCTAGGTATCTTATGGTTTTGGGTGCAATTGTAAATGGGATTGACTCCTTAATTTCTCTCTCTTCTGTCTTGCTGTTGGTGTGTAGGATTGCCACTGATTTTTGTGCACTGATTTTATATCCTGCCACTTTACTAAATTCCTGTATGAGTTCTAGCAGTTTTGGGGTGGAGTCTTTTGGGTTTTCCACATAAAATATCATATCATCTGCAAAGAGTGAGAGTTTGACTTCTTCTTTGCCAATTTGGATGCCTTTGATTTCTTTTTGTTGTCTGATTGCTGTGGCTAGGACTTCTAATACTATGCTGAATAGCAGTGGTGATAGTGGACATCCCTGCTGTGTTCCTGACCTTAGGGGGAAAGCTCTCAGTTTTTCCCCATTGAGAATGATATTCGCTGTGGGTTTTTCATAGATGGCTTTTATGATATTGAGGTATATCCCCTCTATCCCTATACTCTGTGGAGTTTTGATCAAGAAAGGATGCTGTACTTTGTCAAATGCTTTTTCTGCATCTATTGAGAGGATCATATGGTTCTTGTACTTTCTTTTTTAATGTATTGTATCACATTGATTGATTTGTGGATGTTGAACCAACCTTGCAGCCCAGGGATAAATCCCACTTGGTCGTGGTGAATAATCCTTTTAATGTACTGTTGGATCCTCTTGGCTAGTATTTTGGTGAGAATTTTTGCATCCATGTTCATCAAGGATATTGGTCTTTAATTTGCCTTTTTGATGGGGTGTTTGTCTGGTTTGGCGATCAAGGTAATGGTGGCCTCATAAAACGAGTTTGGAAGTTTTCCTTCCATTTCTATTTTTTGGAACAGTTTCAGAAGCATAGATATTAATTCTTCTTGAAATGGTTGGTAGAATTCCCCTGGGAAGCCATCTGGCCCTGGGCTTTTGTTTGTTGGGAGATTTTTGATTCAAAATTGTTTGTTGGGAGATTTTGATTTTTGCTTCAATTTCCTTAGTGGTTATAGGTCTGTTCAGGTTTTCTGTTTCTTCCTGGTTCAGTTTTGGTAGTTTTTTCCATCTCTAGGAATGCATCCATTTCTTCCAGATTATCTAATTTGCTGGCATAGAGTTGCTCATAATATGTTCTTGTAATTGTTTGTATTTCTTTGGTGTTGGTTGTGATCTCTCCTCTTTCATTCATGATTTTATTTATTTGGGTCCTTTCTCTTTTCTTTTTGATAAGTCTGGCCAGGGGTTTATGATTCTTGTTAATTCTTTCAAAGAACCAGCTCCTAGTTTCGTTGATCTGTTCTACTGTTCTTTTGGTTTCTATTTCATTGATTTCTGCTCTGATCTTTATTATTTCTCTTCTCCTGCTGGGTTTAGGCTTTATTTGTTGTTCTTTCTCCAGCTCCTTTAGGTGTAGGGTTAGGTTGTGTATTTGAGACTTTTCTTGTTTCTTGAGAAAGGCTTGTATTGCTATATACTTTCCTCTTAGGACTGCCTTTGCTGCATCCCAAAGATTTTGAACAGTTGTGTTTTCATTTTCATTGGTTTTCATGAATTTTTAAAAATTCTTCTTTAATTTCCTAGTTGACCCATTCATTCTTTTTTTTTTTTTAAGATTTTATTTATTTATTTGACAGAGAGAGACACAGCGAGAGAGGGAACACAAGCAGGGGGAGTGGGAGAGGGAGAAGCAGGCTTCCCGCAGAGCAGGGAACCCGATGTGGGACTCGATCCCAGGACCGTGGGATCATGACCTGAGCTGAAGGCAGTCGCTTAACCAACTGAGCCACCCAGGCTCCCATACCCATTCATTCTTTAGTAGGATACTCTTTAGCCTCCATGTATTTGAGTTCTTTCCGACTTTCCTCTTGTGATTGAGTTCTAGTTTCAAAGCATTGTGGTCTGAAAATAGGCAGGGAATGATCCCAATCTTTTGGTACCAGTTGAAGCCTGATTTGTGACCCAGGATGTGATCTATTCTGGAGAATGTTCCATGGGCACTAGAGAAGAATGTGTATTCTGTGGCTTTGGGATGGAATGTTCTGAATATATCTGTGAAGTCCATTTGGTCCAGTGTGTCATTTAAAGTCTTTATTTCCTTGTTGATCTTTTGCTTAGATGATCTGTCCATTTCAGTGAGGAGGCTGTTAAAGTTCCCCACTATTATTGTATTGTTGTCAATGTGTTTGTTTGCTTTTGTTATTAATTGCCTTATATAATTGGCTGCTCCCATGTTAGGGGCATAGATATTTACAATTGTTAGATCTTCTTGTTGGATAGCCCCTTTAAGTAGGATATAGTGTCCTTCCTCATCTCTTATTACAGTTTTGGTTTAAAATCTGATTTGTCTGATATAAGGATTGCCACCCCAGCTTTCTTTTGGTGTCCATTAACATGGTAAATGGTTTTCCATCCCCTCACTTTCAATCTAGGGGGTGTCTTTGGGCCTAAAATGAGTCTCTTGCAGACAGCATATCGATGGGTCTTGTTTTTTTATCCAATCTGATTCCCTGTGTCTTTTGATTGGGGCATTTAGCCCATTTACATTCAGGATAACTATTGAAAGATATGAATTTAGTGCCATTGTATTGCCTGTAAGGTGACTGTTACTGTATATCGTCTGTGTTCCTTTCTGGTCTATGTTACTTTTAGGCTCTTTCTTTGCTTAGAGGACCCCTTTCAATATTTCTTGTAGGGCTGGTTTCGTGTTTGCAAATTCCTTTAGTTTTTGTTTGTCCTGGAAGCTTTTTGTCTCTCCTTCTATTTTCAAAGACAGCCTAGCTGGATATAGTATTCTTGGCTGCATATTTTTCTCATTTAGTGCTCTGAATATATCCTGCCAGTCCTTTCTGGCCTTCCTGGTCTCTGTGGATAGGTCTTTTGCCAATCTAATGTTTCTACCATTTTAGGTTACCGATCTCTTGTCCCGAGCTGCTTTCAGGATTTTCTCTTTGTCTCAGATTCATAAGTTTTACTATTAGATGTCGGGGTGTTGACCTATTTTTATTGATTTTGAGGGGGGTTCTCTGTGCCTCCTGGATTTTGATGCCTGTTTCCTTCCCCAAATTAGGGACGTTCTCTGCTATAGTTTGCTCCAATATACCTTCTGCCCCTCTCTCTCTTTCTTCTTCTTCTGGGATCCCAATTATTCTAATATTGTTTCGTCTTATGGTATCACTTATCTCTTGAATTCTACCCTCATGATCCAGTAGTTGTTTATCTCTCTTTTTCTCAGCTTCTTTATTTTCCATCATTTGGTCTTCTATATCACTAATTTTCTCTTCTGCCTCATTTATCCTGGCAGTTAGAGCCTCCATTTTTGATTGCACCTCATTGATAGCCTTTTTGATTTCGACTTGGTTAGATTTTAGTTCTTTTATTTCTCCAGAAAGGGTTTCTCTAATATCTTCCTTGCTTTTTTCAAGCCCAGCTAGTATCTTTAAAATCGTCATTCTGAACTCTAGTTCTGACATCTTACTAATGTCCATATTGATTAGGTCCCTGGCAGTCAGTACTGCCTCTTGTTCTTTTTTTTGAGGTGATTTTTTTCCGTTTTGTCATTTTGTCCAGAGGAGAATAGATGAATGAGAGAACAAAATGCTAACAGGGTAACCATGACCCCAGAAAAATATACACTAAACAAATCAGAAGAGACCTTCCAGAAAGTGGTCGCTTTTCTGTTCAGAGAGTTGCTGCTATACTTTTATTCGATCTCCTGTTGAGTTTGTAGGTGTTCAGAATGGTTTGATCCCTATCTAGCTGAATTCCTGGGACCAGACGAAATTTAGGTCTCCTACTCCTCCACCATCTTGCTGCTCCTCCTCTAAAGTGTTTTTTTAAAGGATTTTATTTATTTATTTATTTGAGAGAGAGAGAAATAGAGTGTGTGTGTGTGAGCCAGGGGAAGGGCAAAGGGGGGGGAAGAGGGAGAAGCAGACTCTGCGCTGAGCGCAGAGCCTGATGTGGGGCTCCATCTCACAACCCTGAGATCATGACCTGAACTGAAACGAAGAGTTGGATGCTTAACCAACTGAGTCACCCTTGTGCTCCTAAAGTGTTTTTTGTTTCTCTTTAAAGACCCACCTATCTGGAATTCTGTATCCAGAGAAATCATCCTTCAAAAGTAAAAGAGAAATAAAAACTACTTTCTCAGACAAAAAACTGGAGAAAATTGTTGATAGTAGACATGCCTTACAAGAAATGTCAAAAGGAGAAGGAAAATGATGTATGTCAGAAACGCAGATATACATATATGAAGGTGAAATAAGATATTTTGTTTTTATTATTGTTAATTGATACAATAGAAAACTATTCAAGAATAGCAACAATGTATTAGGTGATTTTAGGTAGAGATTTTAAGTGAAATAAATGACATCAATGTTATCAAAGATGGGAGGAAGGAATTGAGGATATTCTTTCATAAGATACCTGCAATACCAATGAAGGGTTATGATGTTATTTGAAAGTGAATTTCAATTAGTTGTAATTAGTTGTAAATAAATACTGCAAATTTTATAGCAGCCAGGAAAATAATTTTAGAAAGAAGGGTAATTGATATGTTAGAGGACAGAGAAAATGGAATCATATAAAATGGTCAGTTAAAACCAGAGGGGCAGAAAAAGAAGGGAAGATTAAAGCAAAGGAATGAAAGAAGGACAACAAAGAAAATAGTTATAAATATGGTGGTAGATTTTAATCCAAAATATCAATCATTACTTTAAAAGTGAATGGTCTAAATACACCAGTTAAAAGACAGGGAATGTTAAAGTGGATAAGAAAAAAAGGCCCAACTATATATTGTCTATAAAGAAGCCATTTTAGGGCGCCTGGGTGGCTCAGTTGGTTAAGTGACTGCCTTCGGCTCAGGTCATGATCCTGGAGTCCCTGGATCGAGTCCCGCATTGGGCTCCCTGCTTGGCAGGGAGTCTGCTTCTCCCTCTGACCCTCCCCCCTCTCATGTGCTTGCTCTCTCTCATTCTCTCTCTCAAATAAATAAATAAAATCTTAAAAAAAAAAAAGAAGCCATTTTAAATATAAGGACACAGATAGTTAAAGAGGGAGGGGCTATAGAAAGTTCTACCATGCTGACATTAATCAAAACAAAACTGGGGTAACTATGTTTCAGGCAAAGAAGACTTCAGAACAAGGAAAATTATCAGGATTAGAGAGAGGTATTACATAATGCAAACAGGGTCCTTAATATGCATGTTCCTAACAACACAGCATCAAAATACACAAAGTAAAATACTGATAGAACTGATCATTACTCTGGGGTGCCTGGGTGGCTCAGTTGGATTCTTGATTTTGGCTCAGGTTGTGATCTCAGGGTGGTGAGATCAAGCTCCACATCATGGTCCCCACTCAGTGGGGAGTCAGCTGGAGATTCTCTGTCTCCCTCTCCTTCTGCCCCTCTCACCACTTACACTCTCTCTCTCTCAAATCAATCAATCAATCTTAAAAAAAAGAACTGATCATTACTCATCCTATGGACAATAACAGGGCAATAAAGGAATTTTTTATACAACTCTATGACACAAGTTTGGTAACTTAGATAAAATGGACCAATTGGATAGAACCACCAAAATTCAAACAAGAAGAAATAGATAATCTGAATAGAGTGATATCTATAACAATTTTGAATCACTATTTAATAAAATTCCAAAACCAAAAGCACCAGTTCTAGATGGTTTCACTGATGAATTTTACTAAACATTTAAGGAAGAAATGACACCAATTCTCTCCAACGTCTTACCGAAAATAGAAGCAGAGAGAACACTTTCTAACACATCCTATGAAGCTAGCATTACACCAACCTCCCCCCACACCAAACCAGATAAAGACATTAGAAAAAAAGGAAACAACAGACTCAAATATCTTCTGAAAATACATGCAAAAGTCCTCAAAAGAATATTAGCAAAGTGAATTCAACAGTGAATAGGAAATTATACATCACGACTAATGCAAATATGCATGGCTAAAATCCAATAATACCCGAAGCTGGTGAAGATACAGAATGACAGGAACTCTCATTCATTGCTGGTGGGAATACAGAATGGTGCAGTCACTTTGGAAGATAGTTGGGCAGTTTCTTTCTTTCTTTTTTTTTTTTTTAAAGATTTTATTTATTTATTTGAGAGAGAGAGAGAGTGAGAGAGCACAAGAGGAGGGAGCGGGAGAGGGAGAAGCAGACTCCCCGCTGAGCAGGGAGCCCGATGTGGGACTTGATCCCGGGACTCCAGGATCATGACCTGAGCCGAAGGTAGTTGCTTAACCAACTGAGCTACCCAGGCGCCCAGTTGGGCAGTTTCTAAGCATGGTCTTACCAGCAAACTACTTGGTATTTACCCAAATGAGTTGAAAACATATCCATTAACACATACAAAAAAACCTGCACATAAATGTTTATAGCAGTCTTATTCATAGTTGCCCAAACTGGAAGCAATCAAAATGTTCATCAATAGGAAATGGATAATCAAACTTTGGTACGTCCATACAGTGGAATATTATTCAGTGACAAAAGGAAATGAACTATCAAACCATAAAAAAATATGGAAGACTCTTAAGTGCATATTGCTAAGTGAAATAAGCCATTTTGAAAAAATATACACACACATATATGTAGTAAGATTTATTTATTTATTTTAGAGAGAGAGTGCACAAGTGAGCAGGGAGGAGTGGAGAGGGAGAGGGAGAGAGAAACTCAAGCAGACTCTGTGCTGATCATGGAGCCTGACTTGGGGCTGGATCTTAGGACTCTTAACTGTCTCTGCCACCCACATGCCCCCAAAATACGTATTTTATTATTCCAGTATATGTGTCTATGTCATTCTGGAAAACTATAGAGACGTAAAAAACTGTAGAGATAATGAAAAAGATCAGTGGTTACAGGGGTTGGGGGAATGAGAGGAAGGATGAGGATGTGAAGCACAAGGCAGTGAAACTATTCTCTGATACTAAAATGACATATGAAATTGTACAACCTTACTGTAAACTATGGATTTTTATTTAATAATAATATACTAATATTGTGTCATTAACTTGAACAAATGTACCATGCTAATCCAAGTTGTTAATAATAGAGGAAACTGTGGGTGAGGGTATGGGAGCTTTGTGTTATCTGCTTGATTTTTCCGCAAATGTAAACCTGCTCTAAAAGTAAAGTCTATCAACTATAGAAAACAAAAATATTAAAAATCTCAATACAAGTTTCATTTCAGTTTGCCTATAACATACTCCAGAATCCATTTCATTGAAACAAATTTCAGTTTTGAAGTAATCGGATTGTCCAAAAGAGGGTGCCAAAGACTTACAAAGATATCTTCTTTGGTTATGCAAGAGGAAGTTAAATAATAACATAGAATTAATAGAATAAAAAACCCGAAGGCTGTAACATAAGTCAACAGGCATCACACTTGCTGTATCTTGCCCATAACTTCTGTCTTCCTTCCTTAGGACTCAGATCCATTACCTTTGTTCTTTGGTGCTGCTTCTTTGTTGTCTGTGATGGTGTAATACACCCTGATGGTGCACAGCTGTGACCTGGACTCCAGTGAGACCTGAAGGAAGCTGGGTTAGCACAATTGCATTTGGACCCTATTTTAAGCAACTATAGACATAGGCTTGTATAAATTGAATTGCAATGGGAATTTTGCAAATTTTTAAGTTTTTTCCAGTTTACAGTATTTGTAGTGATATAAATTTGCAAATTCTTTTCACTTTTTGACAATAGCCTGTAAGACTCCAATCTTGAATTTCTCTGTTTCTAGCACCTTCAGTCAAGGAACCTATAATCTGTGACTAAGTATACAAGCACCAACACAATTCATTCCTTGGGGCATCTTTTTTTTTTTTTTTTAAAGATTTTATTTATTTATTTGACAGAGAAAGACACAGCGAGAGAGGGAACACAAGCAGGGGGAGTGGGAGAGGGAGAAGCAGACTCCCTGCCGAGCAGGGAGCCCGATGCGGGACTCGATCCAGGGACTCCAGGATCATGACCTGAGCCGAAGGCAGTCGCTTAACCAACTGAGGTACCCAGGTGCCCTTGGGGCATCTTTTGATGAAGAATTTTGTAGTGGATAGAATCTCCTTGTTAGGGCAATAATATTACAGGTAAACCCAGTTTCTTTTGTGTTATAATTTGCCTTTTTGGAGTTTCAAAACATCTTTACTTTCTGTTGGTCGGAAAAGTGTTAAAAAGTGGTGTAAAAATATACACTTGTAAAATAATAAAATTAACAAAATTTGAAATGAAAACTTACTAATCTCAGCTGAAGAGATAAAGGTATCCAGAATTTGTTATGCAAAGTTTTAGATATTTCTATATATGTTTAGAACATGAAGAGCCTCCACTAACCATGTTCTCTGGTAGAATACTTTCCATGCCCAGTGATGAATACTTTTCCTATATCACATCATTCCTTCTTCATCATGGATGCCTGTGATTCCATTTTATTTATATATTATACTTTAGTCAGTACTCTATGCAATTTAGTTCTTTTTGTTTTGTGCTATTAAGAGTATTGATTTAATAAAAAAGAAGTCTTATAGATACACATTTCCACATTTGTTATCTCTGTTCATTTAATTCCCAGAATTGAAATTCCAAGTCAAAATGTAAACAGATTTACATTTTGTTACATAATACCATCCACTGCCTGATAAGTTTTACAAATATAAAAATGCACCAGTTGAGTATTCCTCTGGGGTTTTCTTTTTTTTTTTTTTTTAAGATTTTATTTATTCATTTATTTGAGAGAGAGAGAGAGAGCACACGAGAGGGGGGAGGGTCAGAGGGAGAAGCAGACTCCCTGCCGAGCAGGGAGCCCGATGCGGGACTCGATCCCGGGACTCCAGGATCATGACCTGAGCCGAAGGCAGTCGCTTAACCAACTGAGCCACCCAGGCACCCTCCTCTGGGGTTTTCTTAAAGCAGAGAACAACTATATCTAAGAATGAATAATTTTATTTATTTATATACTTAAGTTTTTATTATTGAAGTATAGTTGACATGCAATGTTATATTAGTTTCAGGTCTGCAACATAGTGATTCAACAATTGATTATATTATACAATGCTCACCACAATAAATGTAGTTACCATCTGTCACCATACAATGTTATTACAGTATTATTGACGATATGCCCTATATTTCATCTCTGTGAGTTTTTTATTTTGTAACTGGAAGTCTGTACTTCTAAATCCCCTTCACCTGTTTCTCCCCCCCCCATCACCCCTGGCAACCACTAGTTTATTCTCTGTATTTGTAAGTCTGTTTTTTATTTTGTTTTGTTTTATTTTTGGTTCATTTATTTTGTTTTTTAGATTCCACATAGAAGTCAAATCATATGGTTTAGTTTTTCTTTTGTCTGGTTTATTTCACTTAGTATAATACCCTCTAGGTCCATCCGTGTTGTCACAAATGTAGAGATCTTAGAATGAATCATTTTAGTTCATGCTGTGCAGGATGGACATATCCCAGGGCCAGACATCATTAGGAATAGCATTTACCTCTTTTGCTATATGCTGTAAAACAATTCCCCCAGTATTGCTGATCTTTTGCATTTGAGGTCTTACTTTTTCTTTTTTCTCTTTTTAGGTATTTCTGTTTTAAATGGAGATGTCCTCTGACTGACATCTGGGCATACTTCTTGCAAATCTCAGAGCCAGCTACATGTTGAGGTTCAGCTCAGTTCTAGTGATGTGGCGATTTGAGTTATCTTGAGCTATCTTTGGTGCTCTATTAGCGGCCATGCTTTAATTTCAGGAAGGCTTTCTTCTCTGTAGGAAGGAAGCCTGGAGTGACGGAATTATCCTCTCGGAGTACATTTCCTCTTCATTCTGTTTTCAAAATGTTTCTTTCCAGAAGAAAAAAATTACATCCTTATGATAGGGGGAGGAGGTTTGGATGAAAGGACTATTCATTTGTTTATTATATTCCTTCTCAGAAGATGTGGCTAAAGTAGGTTTTGTAGTTATTTTCATAATTATTTTAGTGAGAAGGATTTATAGTACATATTTTATTTTGTCGAGTGAGAATATTATAGCATACACACACTGCCTCCCCAGACTTTTCCCAAAACGACTAACAGTATCAACTTAATAACAATATTAATTTAATACCAAAATGCAAGAATATTATTATCAACTCCATCATTTACTAGCTGTAAGAGCTTGGTCAGGTTAATATCTCTTTTTATTTATAAAATAAGGTAACTGTGAATATCAAGTGAGATAAATATATACAATATACATATATTTATTATATATTATATAAACTATACATAATATATATCATATGCTGTATAAATTATGTATAACACATATATCTTTATTACATGTATACATATGTATGTGTGTGTGTATATATATATGTGTGTGTGTATATATATATGTGTATATATATATATATATCATGGCCTATGGTAAATACTCAATATGTGTTAGCATATTTAAGTTTTTGTCATTATTAGTTGTCCCTTAGTAATATTTTTGAATACATTCATTTTTAAGGAAAGCCCACTGCTTGTATTTATTTTTCTTAGTTTGGATTCTCCCCAAAGCAGACCCTGAGATGTGAAGTAGGGAAGCAAAGGGGACATTGGTAGGAAACTGGTAGGAAGGGAAGGACCAAAGGGAACCAAATGAAGGGGGAACCCCTAGGCCAGTTGCCATCATGGGCCTACTGGAGCATGATCCCACAAGGAATCTCTGGGAAAAGTGCAAAACACATGCTTCAGAATTTACTAGTAAATGGGCTGTGAAGCTAAGCAAAACAACTCCTGATAGTCATTTGTTGAGGACCGTTCCTTGGACTGCTCCTTCCCCAGCACTTCCTACCTGCCAGGCAGGTGTGCAGGCAGTGGCCCTCAGGGGCCATACTGTAGAGACAGGCTGTGGGAAGTCTCCTGGGGCGTCTTGAAAGGTAGGGCACTGACGCTGTCTGCTACCGCCATGAACTGTTGAAAACCTGGCCTTCAACATGGCTTAGGAACTACTGGGGAACACTATGAGCGTCTTATCATATTCCCTGTTCCACAGGTGGACAGGTGGATTAATTAGGCTGTACCAAATACTACATTTTATATAAACCACATTCCATTCTAAGTAGAATCTAGTTAGCCCATTGGAATAAAAAAAAAACCCATGACTCTGGACCACAACAAATCATGTGTTTTATTTTTTATTTATTTTCAAATTTTTTATGATGAAAATTTCACACATATATAAAGAAGGAATAATATGGTGATCAGCCACATATTCATCGTCCTGGTTCAAAAATTTTGTTTCAAAAATAAATCTACCCCACTCCCACCTAGATGAATTTTAAATAAATTATATTGTTTTGTTCATGAATATTTCAGTGTATATCTATAAAATATAAAAGTAATTTCATTGTTAGGCTTAAATTGTTAACAGTAGTTAATACAATCAAATACCTGGTCCTTGTGTAAATTTTCCTGTCTTCCTTTTCTCTTTCTTTCTTTCTTCTCTTTCCTTCCTTCCTTCCTTCCTTCTTTTCTTTTCTTTTCTTTTTTCTTTTCTTTTCTTTTCTTTTCTTTTCTTTCTTTCTTTCTTTCTTTCTTTCTTTCTTTCTTTCTTTCTTTCTTTCTTCCTTTCTTTTCTTCAGCTGGGGCAAAATAATAAGGACCTAAATGGCTCCATATCACACTTGATTGATAGGTTTTTTTAAGTCTCTCTGAATCCACGGATTCCATCCTTTTCTTTTTTTGTTTTGTTTTGTTTTAATTCATTTATTTTTGGTGCTGTACCTTCTTCTGGATCAGTGTCATGCCCTGCCCTTGGTTTTCAGTAGTTGTTGACTGGAGAAAATAAATATCTTCTCATCTCATTAGATTAGTGGCATGTCCATTTCAGGTGCCATTTCAATAACTGGTCTAATCATGTGCTGGACATGGAGATGCCCAGGCCTGTGCTCTGAAGTGATAAGGTGAGATGCAGTGATGATTGAAAATAGAAAAGAAAAAAATGGATGAATTTGACTACATGGCCTTGGAGAAAACAGTTGACTTTCCTCTATTATCAAAAATTATCATGGCGCCTGGGTGACTCAGTCGGTTAAGTGTCTGACTCTTGATTTCCGCTCAGGTCATGATATCAGGGTCGTGAGATTGAGCACTGCATCAGGCTCTGTGCTGGGTGTAGAGTTTGCTTAGGATTCTCTCTCTCCCTCTCCCTCTGCCCCTCCCTGCTTACGTATGTGCTCTTTCTCTCTAATAAAAAAAAAATTATCAGATACCAAATGTTGATATTAACATTATCAGAATGTCACTAACAAAACTTCTTGACAGAGCTTGGCCTTATCCCCAGAGAGCTTACATCTCAGAGATCACAAAACAGCCTAATTTAACTATTAATCGACATTTAAAAATAATGTGCTAATTGCATAAAATGTTTTTAAATACAAAATTTAAGTGGTTATACTGTAATTAGTGGGAAGGAATGTTCATGGATCAGCTATTAACACTCTAATTTAAAATCTTAATATAAAAACTGTGTTTCAATGGTTCAAAAATGTAACCAGAGCTTGCAGTCATTTTTACATGCATTAATATATTTACACGCAATTTGAGAACAAGTCACAAATACTGTCTGTTTTGAGAATTATTAGCAATCCTTTTAGATTGTTAGTGCCTGGTAACAGACACTAGCATGCTGATTGGTTATGCTATTTGTCTCTCAAATACTTTAAAAAACTGCACACACATATATCAGTTTTTTTTTTTTTTAAGATTTTATTTATTTATTTGAGACAGAGAGCATGAGAGAGAGAGCACATGAGAGGGGGGAGGGTCAGAGGAAGAAGCAGACTTCCTGCTGAGCAGGGAGCCCGATGCGGGACTCGATCCCGGGACTCCAGGATCATGACCTGAGCCGAAGGCAGTCGCTTAACCAACTGAGCCACCCAGGCGCCCCACATATATCAGTTTTAATTGTATGTAACAATCTGTTGTAGTGCACTGTAAATATATCTTTTCCTCAAGCTCTAAGGGCTATCTTACACTCTCAGCCAATGTGAGCTCGCTCATATTTTTCTCTGTTTTATTTCTGTGACCATGAGTAGTGCAATGCTCTTGGCTTATGAGTGCTGTCCTACTCTATATAGATGATGTGGTTTTCTAGCTGATGTTAAGAGCTGTTTACTACAGTCACCTTCTTTCTACAATTTATTTTGTGTTCTCATGAACATTTTTTACCTATAAAGGCTGGAAAAGCTGTGTAAATGGTAGAAGTAAACTTGCCCAAGGGGAACAAAGATGTCATCATGTACATTCTGTAGAATGTAATGACCAAAACAGAAATTAGGGACTATTGGAAATCCTTGTGGAGGTCATAATAGACATCACGGCAACATAGAGGGGTTAGGTCACAATTTGGACAGGCACCTGGAGAAATTTGTGGCAGGAGGCATGATGTGATTCCAGGGAACTTGGGTCAGTCAGTCTTTGCTAATGGTCCACCCCAGGAATGCCTCTCCATGGGAGGAAGTAAGTAGCATTGTGGGGCTGGGACGAGCTGGGCCAGGGGACAGCTTGGCACAGCCCAAGGCCCATTCTGGCCTCTTCCATTTAATCTTTATAAAGAAGGAAACAGTGTTTGCAGACTAGAATTGAGTGACAACAGCCCCCCTCCCCAATAAGAAGAGCTGAGAGAGATGATTTTACAGTATTTCCTTTCATCAAAGTAACACAGGCTTGTCTCTCGCTTCCTGACACAGAAAATTGCATTTTGTCACCCATTTGTCAGTTCTTAGAGATTTTAAGATAATTAAAGAACATTATAGCAGGTGACAGCTGTTGCTGAATGCCGGGTTGCTAGTTCTTCTGCTTGTTGGATGCCCATGAATCTAGGATGATGATAGCTTGGTGCTCCAGGTTTAATTAGCTGGTTGTTTTGAATCTGTCTGGGCTCTCAGGTGTGGGTTTAGCAGGCTTGCAGCTTGTGGAATCTGAGCTGTGCTCATCACTGACTGGAGGACTTGGGTCTGACCAACTCCTAGAAGGGCCAGGTGGAGGTGCCTTGACCTTTATCAGACAAGGACACCAAAGGAATAAGGATGCAGCTTTCTAGGTGAAGCTCCTGAGATCAAAGGCTTGTTGGTTTCCTGTTGTTCTTGCACCAAAGCATGATTTTCTTTTTTCTTTTGGTGGGCAGCAAAGCAAGGTTTATTGAGCCATAGCAAAGTGATAATACAAAGTTCCCGAGGAGGGAGGGGACCCTTGAGGGTTGCCACGGGAGTTTCTAAGTCTAAGGGTTTTTATGGGCTTGTTGGTAGGCTGTTTTACTCTGATGAACCCTCCCTGTGCCTGCCATCCAATCAGGTTTTTGTCACATCTATCATGTGGGAAAGGGTGGAGGGTTCCTTCCAGGGTGGTGCAAAATCCTTTTAAGGGTGGTTTCCTTTTAGGGCCCCAGGGCGGGGGGGCATCCCTTGTCCCTGCCTGCCTGCCTTCCAACTATCCTTCATCATTCCCCCCACTGAAGAGGTAAACCTAACTGCTATTAGGGAAGAAATGTGAACGACTGATCGTAGCTACTTCCTGCTGGTCAGGGCGTTGGTTAGGGGACAGCAGCCGGGGTTCCTCTTACCCCGATCTGTCGAGGGGGTCCCCTGTTGATGTCTGGTTGGACCTTGTTGTGACGCTCCATCTGAACCATCATTTGGAGTTTGGTGACCTTTATTCTGGAAGATAAAAAGCAGGTTAGGGCATTTAAGAGGAAAGACCCAAAGCACAGTGCAAGACCCAGTGCAGCGAGGGGTCTCGCAAGAGATAGAGGCTGTTTTAGTGAACTCCCCACATATTTTGAGGAGAGGGCGGGCGAAAGGAGTATAATAAGGGTTATGATTTTGATGGGATATAGGGAGAATAATATTTAAGAAGACTTAACTGTGTCTTGTCACTTCAAGACTAGTTTGAGGTCCTCTCTGGTTCACAGAGGGATTTTAGTTCCTTGTTGTTGGGCCCCGTTGGGGACCAGGGTTTGACTCTGGAATGGTGGATCCAGGCAAAGCATGCTTTTGATTTTGAAATTTATTTTCTGATTAAATCTCTTTCAAAGCCATCTCTTCTATTACACAGCACGGCAGTCGTATCCCATTTGGTTTTATTTCTAAGTTAGTTTACCGAAAATTCCCTGATATGCAGGAGAGAGATCTCAATGGTCTCAACTCTGGCTTTCAGTATGATAGAATATTTCTTTTCTTCTCCTGGAGGATTTGAATGCTATCAGACTATATCAGAGAAACTGTGAACCCTGTTGGAAACTCCATGCTTCCTTTCTTTTTAATTCTCCCTAGGTGAGGGTGAGGTTCTATATGTTTTTTTTTTTTTAATTTTTTTAAAAAGATTTTATTTATTTATTTGAGATAGAGAGAATGAAAGACAGCATGAGAGGGAGGAGGGTCAGAGGGAGAAGCAGACCCCCTGCCGAGCAGGGAGCCCGATGCGGGACTCGATCCCTGGACTCCAGGATCATGACCTGAGCCGAAGGCAGTCGCTTAACCAACTGAGCCACCCAGGCGCCCCGAGATTCTATATGTTTTAACAATTCGTTCTTTTTTTTTTTTTTAAGATTTTATTTATTTATTTGACACAGAGAAAGAGACACAGTGAGAGAGAGAACACAAGCAGGGGAAGTGGGAGAGGGAGAAGCAGGCCTCCCACTGAGCAGGGAGTCCAATGCAGGGCTCCATCCCAGGACCCTGGGATCATGACCTGAGCCGAAGGCAGACGCCCAAAGACTTGAGTCACCCAGGCACCCCTTAACAATTCGTTCTTAAAAAAAATCTATTTAAAAAAAAAAAACCACATGAGTTTAAGTTTGTCTCTCCAAATTATATTTGTTTTTAAACTAATCTTAAAACACTAAAGGTTTTCAGGAATAATTAGAAAAAATCATTCTTAACTTATACACAAAGTTCATTCCCAACAATATATTCTGAATCATTAAAATGAATACAGTAGAAGTACATCAATTGCTATTTTAGAACCAGAGTAAAAGCCTTCTGCTTATGGAAACTCCTTAGAGTCCTTTTGACCAAACGCATTCTTCCAGACCTTTTCGTACGCAATGTTATGCCCTGAAATTCTTTCTCCCTTTTTGTACACAGGTCAAACTCGCGTTCATCCTTCAGGTGGTGGCACAGAGGTCACGTCTTTCTTTGAAGACTTTTCTGAATCTACCTAGCACAGCGTGGCCCCTCTTCCCTCTGGTCTGCTTCCTCTGCTCTTTGCATGCACGTACTTTGAGAATCGAAACCATCTCTGCAGCTCACCGTCTCTGTTAGCATGACTTTATTATTCCACTGTCTTCGACATAGCCTCAATATTTCATGAGACTCTCTCCCAGGAAGATACAACTTGTAACTAACTTTTTCATTCCGAGGACTTCCAGATAGTTCTTTCAGCTCATTAATTAAAAGCATCTGTGGACCATTTATGCCAGATCCTAAACCCCTTACCTCCATGGTCTCACATTGCTGTGCCTGTTGGTCTAAGCCATTACATCGTGATTCCTATTCAATAGTCATCAAGCCTCCACACCGAAACACCTGCCTTAAGCAAAATCTCAATAAACATCCTGACCTTGTCCTTCCCTCTCTAGGACATTACTAAGACTCTGTTGACCTCCGTTCTCCGTTACCATGGTAAGCAATTAACTGTGCTTTGTTTTGTCAATAGATGCTTTGGGGATAGTTTGGGGAATAGGCATTTGACAACATCTTTGCCCAACTTACTATGTCACATACTTGATTATGGCTCTCTCTTTTCAGTTTACCATGAACTCTCTACTCCCCAGCCTATCCTGAAGTCTTATGTTTAACACAGAGCATGAGAAAGCAATAAGGATCTTTTGGCAAAATGGACTTAGCGGAATGGAGAGGAAGTTGATGACTTGATGCACAAAAAAACATCTTTCTTGACTAGACTCAAAATTTATTGGTGCTTTTCTAAGTCCTCCCCAGCCTGATTTTTCATGATCTCCATGTTCTGGCCTCAGCCTCTCCATCTAACTGTATTTCCTGCACATTCTTCACTCCAAAGAGCCATTCTCCTTGTCGGTCCATTCTCTTATGCACCTGTGGGTACTCATGTATTCTGTTTCCTGTGCTAGGAATACTTTCCCCCTTAACTGATGCTAAACCTTGCCCCAAATTTAAGGCTGAATAGTTCCAAATTCTCTCTGTGCTCTTTTCCAACTTCTTCATTAAATTCTATTCTCTCTTTTCTTTTAATTTTTATAGTACTCACTATTTTTTGCACTATTCTTCCATGACTGGTATTTATTCAAGTTACTTTTGATACCTTGAATTAAGGCACAAGATCCATTCACTTATTTATTTAACTAAAATTTTAGAAACCACCTTAGTAATGTACTGTGATAGGTCCTAGGGGTTGCAGCAATGATTAAGATAATAAGCTTATGCACTGTTGGGGATCTTCAAGTTCCTTAACACAAGGCCAACTAAAATATCAATGTATGACTACTCCTTTTAGTTAGTTGGTAT